TTTTTTTGAGCGTCGTTACTACCGTAATTTATGGCTGATTGAATTCGTGGTTAGATACACCGCGCTCTTGTATGGACATTTGAACATCGCGTAGTAGTGTGAATATTGCATTGTTGTCTTAGAAGCGTTGTTGGTTAATCCATGTAAGTTAGGATTACTGAATAAATCATATTGGGGATCTTTATCTTTTATTTCCAATATTAATTGGTAAGTTATTGATATTGTGAGTTACTTAGGGTATCTGGAGGATTAAATTTACCTGGCGCCCATTAAGATCTATTTGAAATTTGCTAAGTTGTTTAACCCACTCCCGTCTCCACTGTTTAGCTTAGCCGCGGATACCCATCTGTCTTATTTGTTACCGACAGATGATTTAGTCTCCTCTTGTGGTTGTGAGGTGACAATGTCAGCAAGCTTCGGCAGAGAATGGACGACATCCATGAACGAGTCCATCTGAACATCCGGAGTGCCAGCGATAGGATGAAGACGGCCTATGATATCAAGGCGAATGCTGGAGAATTCGAAACTGGTGACCTAGTTTGACTGTACAACCCTAAGCGACGCCGTGGTTTATCACCGAAATTGCGGAACTCGTGGGAAGGTCCGTAAAAAATCATGAAAAAGATTAATGACCTCGTCTACCGAATCCATAAGCCACCTCGTGGAAACCCTAGGGTCGTCCATTTTAATAGATTGGCTCCTTATGCTGGAAATCACGACCAAGTTCGCGTCCTCAGACCACCAGAGGATGAAATGACGTTCCAGCAATTCATGTCCTTATACTCGAACGGACAGAAGGTCGTACATGGGGTAACTCGAGAAGAGCCTCGAGACCTTTTCAAGGTTCCAGTTGATTACGCACTAGCTCACTGCGTGGCCAAGGATCTTCAAATGTCCAAGGGTATCGCTGTGATATTCAACAAGAAATTCGGTCAGCTCCAAACATTACGAGGACAGAATCCAGAAGTCGGAGGTGTGCTACAGTTGAAGAAGGGTCAGAGTAACATTTTCTACTTGGTGACCAAAAAGCATTCTCGAGACAAACCGTCGTATGAAGATGTCTGGAGGAGTCTTACCAGACTGAGGGACACGATGCTCGACCAGAATCTCGTGGACTTGGCAATCCCGAAATTAGCCTCTGGGCTTGACAGGCTGGATTTTGGTGTGCGGTAACCATCTTCCACGACCGAACATAAAGACTGTGGAGTGTTACTTCTATCGAACTTCACAGTGCAGATATGGAGAGTCCTGCAGGTATCGACACACGCCAAGGATGACATTTCGGGTCGAAACGTCTTTAGGAAGGGGGCAATGTAATGAATCTGAAGCCGGCCCTGACCGATATCTCAGTCAGCAAACACATGACTCATCGCGAAACATCGCGAAAGGTGTAGATGAATCCCGAAATTCCTAGCGAGATCCGGAGCGATCGTGGCCGATATAAAAAGGAGCCACTTCTAGTCGGCCAGGAGTCTGTATCTAGAGAGCGAATCGAGCGGTTAACAAACAGTGAAGATAAATTAAGCGTTAGTTGCTAAGTGTTGTGTATAAATTAGTTGTGAAAGTGAAATATTGTTAAAAATAAATTTGTTCAAGACAGTTGATTCTTTAATTCGTTACAGTATTAAGTTTCACTTTACTTTAGTTCGTGATAGGTATTAAATTTTAAAATTTAAACAATGAAAGTTGATGTATTGGGTAGAAGAAGGATATATTTTCAATATCCACAATCGTCTTCATAGGTTTCGAATCATATTAGACAATTATAGTTCGAACTGGAAAAATTCACCATGATACATTGTTAACCACTTTCAAACAAAAATTGTGACAAAGTTTCATTGGTCAAACCTATTTTTTAGATGATAGACACATAGGCTTCTTCAACAGCTTTTGAGCAAAGGCAGACTATCCTCAAATGAGGGGTAACTTTCATTCACATTCAATTTTGAATCAGATAAGAGTTTTATAAAGTTAAAAACCAGAGTCCAAACACAACGCATTTATGATTCAAAACCAAACAGTCCTTTTTCGACCCGCCGTAGGTCTCATCAGTGGTGCTAGGCTGAACCCTTGAAAATCAAGCCTAAGTAAATGATCCTCAGAGAAGTAATATATAAAGGGGGTCATCGAAAACCAAACATGCGTTTAGATAAAAAATCGCTCGAATCATTTTATTTTGATTTCATCTCGATAAAAGACACATTTTCAACTATGCCTTTTCCACCCTCTTGGCGGAGTGCGATACAACCACCAATTTGTCTTTTCCACGTTGCCTCCTTTTTTGAAATTGCTAAAATACTCAACGAATCAGAAAGTTCTTGAAAAAAGTTGACAAAAAATTAATGTTACGCCTAGCTACTAATTATGCATTGTGTAGTTGACTGATCAAATAATGTGATTTTCTTACGACACCTACTAATGGTCGCATCACCTTTTTTCTATTGTTCATTAAATGAACTCTGTGTCCAAGGAAACTGTGGACAACATGGGAGAATCAGAAACCGTAACAGATACAAGCCGGTTAAATTTCCTTGCTGGATATTTTGTATTTATTCTGATCCAAATTAACTCTGCTACTCTGCACCATTGGTAACTTCATCATACCTGTTTAAACGTATTACACTGAATAGTGAAACTAGTAGCCTCCTTTTTTACTTTCATGAAAATGCAAGAAACAAAAAAACAATTGAGCAACGCCTATTCACTTTCTGAAGGGAGTGCTGAGGGAAATTTTTAATTTTTTTTTGAAGAAAATTATATTTCATTTATAAATACCCCATCCACCGACTTTGAAACCTGTCGTTCGGGTAACTACATATGAGTGATGAAATTCACGTATGAGTTAGAAAATAAAGGACAACTTCCATTTCTTAACGTTTTGGTAATGAGGAGCCAATGTGGAAAGTTATAATATGATGTATTTAGGAAGGAAACAATCATTTACAGGTATATTCCTGACAGTTTACATTACTGTGGAAAGCACACACGTGCTGGGCTGAATTAGTGTAGAAAGGGGTATCAGGTATCATTTTATGAGAGTCGATCTGATTTCATCAACAACACAAAATTTGGTAAACGAAATCTCCAAAAAGATTTTATTGGGGATAATAATTGTGCCAAATATTTTGAGAATATACACGTGTTGCGTTTTTGTAAAACAATTTAGTGAAAATCTCACAATAAAGTGTTTTTGGAATACGTTTGTTTTCATTATAATCTTTTCTCGACAGATTTTCTACCTATCAATTTTTTCCATTCCAGAGATGTGAAAATCCATAAATGTCCAGAATAATATTATAGTTGGACTTGGGAAATACAGAAACTTCCACGAATTACTATAAAAACCACGACCTTGATCATCATTTGGTCGATTCCAAATAACTCGTATTCCCCCAATTACAAGTTAACAAATCTACAAAAAATGTGTTCGCTAATTGTGAGCTTCCAATACAATTCAAAATAAATTAAAACGTTTGATGGTCAAAGCTCGGACCATTGTTCCGTAACAAATATAAAACCGGCGATAACATCATTTCAACCATATTCGGAATTCACCAGCGGTGCAAGGTGAGCCGCAGTTTTGTTTGACAATTTTCTCGCAAGTCGACCAAGTCATGTTTGTGAAGTTGATTTTGTCGTTCGTCAGTTTCTACTGTGCAAGCGCGGCTTTGCGTAAGTATATTTCAAAACTGACATGTCGTATATTTAATGTGAAATCATTGTCTTTTCAACAGTTTGGAAGTGTCGAATTTATGTTTTCACTTGAATTTCCAGTTGTCTTTTTAAATTTCTTACCTAGTTTTTCGAAAAAACTGGTTATTCTATTCATATATCTGTAATAAACTCAAGGTGAATTTTACTTAAAAGCAAATTAAGAAATCATAAAAAGTTTTATTTACGGAAATGTATAATACAATCAGCACTATTCTGGAATTTAATNAGTTTTTCGAAAAAACTGGTTATTCTATTCATATATCTGTAATAAACTCAAGGTGAATTTTACTTAAAAGCAAATGAAGAAATCATAAAAAGTTTTATTTACGGAAATGTATAATACAATCAGCACTATTCTGGAATTTAATATGAAATTCAGTCTTCTTTAGAAGACAGGACTTGTTTGATAGTTCAATTAACAGGTTTGCAGACAATGAAGTCCTGAGGCTTGACATTTTTTTCCCAAATCATTTAACAGCTGCATGGCTTTACGGATTAGGTATACTTCTTTATTCTCTACTATATTTTTGTTTATTGATATTATTGTAACATTTATGTAACATTCTATTTTTTTTATTCTTCTTCTGGGCTCTTGTTTCTAAACTCAATTTTTCTACCTTCTTTTTTTTTAACTTTCTCATTTGACAGACGGAGTAGTTCCAATGATCATAAATGATATTTTGTTTTGGTGATAAATTTGTATTTTAAAAATGTTCTTTTTCTTCAAAATCATCCACTTTTTTGGTTTGAATCTGTCATTCTTCTGTAATCATTTCCAAAACTACACACAAATACTATGTCCTTTCTCAAGTTTTATTCCTTTCCATAACGATTTGTTTTTTTTTCATATATCTCAATTACTTCTGTGATTTTCCTTTTTTGTGGATTCTTAATATATTTCATTATTTTGTTGGGATTTTTACCTTTCTATCATCCTCTACTTTCTCCTGAAGTTCCTCGTATTTCGTCTATTCCCCTATACAAAGAGTTTTCGCTCAAGATTCTGTGATATACCTGAAATTGAGAGCCAAAGTGAAATTTTATATCAATACCCTTTTACATAGTAGTATTGCGTTGTGTAGCGTTTTCTGTAAATGATCTGTTTTAATGGAAATAACTTATTTTGAATAATGTTTTTCTCGTCCGAGTTAAAAGGAATATTTGTGCACAATTTTGAAAGGGTTTTTGTTGAAATTTTTAAGTTTTCCTTCCTTCCTCAAAAAAGTCTCAAGGTTGAACTTGTTCATGGAGTTTATCGACCAAAGATAGAACATGAAAAAGGATTATGAGAACAATCATAGATTTCAATTTTTTATTTAAACAAAGCTGTTGAATTTTAATTACAGTACCACTTGTTTATCATTCGTTTTGTGATCGGGATTCGATGAGGCTGACGAATGCCGTATTTTCCTGGTCCTGATTGGCGAAGGTTATACCGCTGAGAAAGTTAGCGAAGTGTTTGAAAAGATTGTAGTCGGTTGACGAGTGGTCTGAGGAATATGGTGGGTGAGACAGAACTTCGACGCTCAATTCGTTAAATTTTCGGTTGGTGATTTATAAAACATGCAGACGGGGTTTATCATGGAGCAAGGTTGGACATCTTCTGTTGACCATTGTCGGCTGCTACTGACTCAATTCGGTACAATTCGTCGGATTTCCCCACAACAGGACTCCGTTGTGATGGTTCGAGCGGCTTGCAGAAAATACCATATCATACAACAACCATGGTCTTTTTTTAGTGGGTTTTCGGCTTTGAGAAGTGCTTCGGTGGCTTATTGGTGTCCAACCACTGTCTTGAGCGTCTCATGTTGTAGAGAATCCACTTTTCATCACACGGAACGATCCAATCCAAAAAGAAGGATCGTTTTGGTTGTGCAAAAGCAAAGAACAGACGTCGCAACGTAACAATTTCTGTCGATCGTTCGAGCTTTTTAACCTCTCCAATACGTTTCAAACCATCAAAAGCCTTATAGGAATTGACGCCCAGTTCTTCTGTCATCCCATCCACCGTTTGTGGTGGGTCAGTCTGCAGCAGGGTCTTCAAATCCTCGTTCTGAATTACTGTATGTCGACCACTGTGGGGGCTCATCTTTGAGGCTAAAATCTCCTTGACGAAATTTTACAAACCATCGTGAAATAGTGCTTTCATTAACACTATCATTGCCAAATGCCTGGTTTATTTTTTAGGCTGTTTTGGTAGCCCTTTGGTTCAATTTGAATTCGTAAAAAAATATACGATTTGATCTTCACAAACTTTATTTTCAAAAATATATCACACCATGTTTCGCTATCACCAGTAGTAGTAGCACATGTGGTGTTATACTTTTAAAACAAATTTCGTGAAGATCAAATCGTAAGGTATAGTTTATGAAAAAACTGAAAACGTAATACTACGTTACAATATTAACAAAAAATTACCAAAAAAAATCAGTATGTTAGGAAGATTATAAAAATGGTCTAGTTCGAAATAAATTCCTAACAAAAATTGTGAATGAACCACATATCCTTCAAAAATAGGAATTTAAGTTCAGAGATTTTGATAACAAATTACTTGAAAATTCTATTGACTGATTCACGAAAAATATTAACTTAACCAACATAAAGATATACCAATGATGAATGTATTCTTGAGTCATCAAAAGCAGCCAATATGTTTTCACCGATATGTTAAAGAACTGTTCATTTCGAAAGAAAATCGAATTATTTGAGTTGTTGAAACCAAGCTTGATAAGATGTGTCTCCAACTTTCGAAAAGTAGTTCGTTTGATATATTCAAAATCGTGTAAGTGTAGAATTATTCAATTCATAACGACGTCTTCCGAGTCATTTTTTTTTAGGTTTGGGAACAGGAATAAGTCATAGGGTGCTATAGTTTGTTCAGTATTGTCTGAGAGTAAAAGAATTTCAAGAATGCAAACATGTCGCTACATCAAAGAAAGCAACATAGTCGTCTCAAGCAAATAGCACTGCAATTCACCCACAAAATCATTGAGATATGTCTACCCTTGAGGACGCCGCTAACGAGCTATTAAAATAGGGATATGCGACAAAGAACGCGAAAACACCAAAAAAAAATGCGCCAAAAGAACCGCTCGATATTTTTTCTGATATTACGTTCAAGATGATATTAATAGGCGTCGGACTGGGGGTATTAATATAAATTTTCCATTGATATATTCTGTATGATATATTCTGTATATAATTAAAATATGGTGAAAACTAATTCTGTTTGAATATTTTATTTTGGGAAAGACAATTTATTTTTATTATTTAGAATTGTTACCTTCTACAGATCTATAAAATAATCAGAATATTAAATTTACAAATAAATACAAATGTAGAAAGGGCAAAAAGTTACTGCATTTGATAAATTAGCTTTTTGGAAAAAAAATCAAATTTGTCATTAACTTGAATTTAAAAAAAAATTGCATATTGAAAGAAATATGTATCATCTGGTGACGTTTTAAAGACTCTATCCATTTTCTTTATCCAATCTATTTAAATCAAAACATTATAATTTGTACTTATGATTCGTCTTTTGATGTAAATAAATTTGATATTATATTATAATTGACACTGATAATATCAAATTGATCGTCGGTATGATAATGAAGATGGATACAGTATTCGAAACATCACCAGATAAGTATACTAATAGAATAGATTTCCGCGGTTTGAAATTTGAACATCTGATTTCGAGTTGAACCGCGTTCAAAATTTTGCGTTGTTCGACGTTTCGGCTTCGACTTTGACATTTTCAGGAAGTAGAAAAATGGAAAAGTGTGGCTGCACTGAGATATACACTTTATATATTCTTGTTGGTTTGAAAATGAAGATTCATATTCCTTATTGGATTTTATAGTTAATGCAGAAACAATTTTATAGATTTTAATGGGAATACTCACTTCGAATAAGACATTGCGATAATTTTAATCTGAAAAAAGTCTACAGGGATTTGTTGAGTGATTCTTCACTGGATGAATCAGTTTCATTAGGATTGATGACAACTGAAATAATTTTTTTTGATAATGAGTTTATGCGATCATCCAGATCCCACAACTCTGCTTCGATTCTGATTGTTTTGTGGATACATTTTTCCCAAGCTTTTTGGCCGACTGTTTCCAGAGCACTGTATAGGTATTTCTTCACTTCACACAGCTTGAAGGTCTTATTATTCCTTGCGATGAATCCTTCAACTGGAGCCCAAACCAACTCTATTGGATTCAATTCACAGTGATAAGGCGGCAACGGAAGAACCGACATTCCTTTAGTCGTCGCCATCTCATCGGTTACATACTTGACGAATTTTGACGTATGACGTTTAGCCAAGTTGAGGAGCTCCGCTTTTAACATGATCGATTCAAAAGGAATAGCTTTCATTTGTAACCACTCAGTAATATCTGCTTTCTTCCAACACGACGTCGGCAGCTTCTCGACTCGTCTACTGTGGTAACTTGCGTTATCCATTACTATTAATGATCCCTGCGGAAGTTTTACAAGTATGTTTTCAAACCATTCTTCGAATACTGTGGCAGCCATTTCTTGATGATAATCCCCCTTCCATAAAGGCTTGTCTTCCGCTTTTGATGTTCTAATCTTGCCAAACCTTCGAGACGGTATGACCCTCATTGACCCATGTTTCATCCAAATAAAAAATAGATTTACCTAGTGCTCTGGCTTTCTATTAGATCTGGTGAATATGATGTTTTTTGTACCTGACTGGTTTGATTGTGTACAAGTTTCTTTCAAGTCCCCAGACTCTTCTTCGTTTCTATATTTCACTGTTGCAAACGACGGAAAATTTTGACAGATGCACCTTCTATCAAAGGCTAGATAACATTTTTTCACAGTCAAATGAAAAATCAAATAACCATTCATTTTCCACAAAAAAATGTCAATGCCTTCAACGAGACAGTTTAGAAGATATGGCATGACAGAAACATTTGACCGAAAAAACT